TTAAATGCATCCATGTCCCCTCTGAGATAAATAAACTGTAAATACACCTAAATGTTATTTCAGATGCAGATTCCAGAAATGTTTTCTTATGTTGGAATGAAAGACACTAAGTACCGGGTGAAGTGCTTCTTATTCTTAACCAAAAATACAAAATGGAAGAAAGAGTTAAAACTGAACACAATATTGCTACTCAAGCTGTGTATGAACAGTTTTTTTATATATATATATATATATTTATTTGCTTATTTTCCATTTTGCATTTACTTGTACTTTTACTTTCAATACTTAAGTACGTTTAGGATTAAAAAAATACTTTTTGTACTTAAGTACAATAAATATCACATACTTTAAGACTTTTACTCAAGTAATATTCTAAACGGTGACTTCAACTTCTATCAAAGTCATTTTCTGGTAAGATATCTGTACTTTTACTTGAGTATGACTTTCAGGTACTTTATACTACAATTGGTTTTTGACCACTGAAAATTTGTGCAAATTAACGTTTTACTCCTGGAGCCATATTGAAATTCCAATATCTCTGGAACTGAACTATATAGGGCAGGGATCCTCAAATCTGGCCCACGAGATCCCCTTTCCTGCAGAGTTTAGCTCTAACCCTAATCAAACACACCTGAGCAAGCTAATCAGTGTCTTCAGGATCATTAGAAAAGTTTGATAGATAGTTTGATCAGGGTTGGAGCTAAACTCTGCAGCGCATTGGCCCTCCAGGGCAAGATTTGAGGAACCCTGATATAGGGACTTAAAAATTAAGATGCCAAAAGGAAAGTGTGTAAAGAAAGACCCAATATCTAAAACTTCTTGAGTTACAGTCATGCAAACTTTGGAGAAAAAAACTTGAAAAGTGTTCTTTCCCCATTTTCGAATGGTCACCATTGACACATAATGCAACAAAGACAGCTAAAGTAAACAGATTTTACTAGCAGGCCTACCAATTTGTGTAAAATAAAATTATGATGATAACATGGTTGATTTGACACAGAATGACCCAATAGAGTCATTCCTACACCAAATTTTTATAGTGTAATTATTGTGAAAAACTTTACCAGTAGTTATTCTGAACACCCGTGTGAACTTGAGGAGAACTGACTTTATAAATTTACTAAAAATCCCATTGGGATCAGTTGATTAGAAGTAAAAAATTGGCTAATTTTTAGGTGTCCAGATACACTAGCATGTAGGTACATATTTGTTTGTATCAGTAAACTCACACTGAACTTGCTGGACTTTTTTCCTGCAGTGCTGGAGAAGATAACCTGCAGATCATGTGGGAAGTCCAGAGTCAGGATTCGTCCCCCTTCTTTCAGTTTGAGCACCACGGCATCCTGGCAGTCCACATACAGCACCATCTGCCTGGGCTCCACACTCAGAGCCATCCTCACCCAACCTCTGCTCGTAAAGGGACTCCCGGCGGGCAACTTTAGCACCTCCGGCCGCATGCCGTCAGCTGACCTGAACTCCAGCTGCACCCTGTCTGCTTTTGTGTTGGAGACGAGCTCCAGCAGGGGGCGATCGCCATTCTGCAGGAAGGTAGAGGAGGTGAAGGAGATGAGGGTGGCCTCCGAGCCTCTGCTCTGACGGCCCACCAGGTGCAAACCCAGGACGCCCTGTGAGGTGTTGAAGAGGTAGTCCAAAAATGTCTGGGGTAGTTTGAGATGAGGCGTGTTGGAACGGAAACGCCAGGCCGTCGTGTTTGGTTCACGACCTTTGACCTTAGACACCCCGCGGGTAGAGCGAGTGACGTTAAGAGCCTCCAAGAGGTTGATTACTAATAGAAGAAACATGTAGAATGACATCAGTGACATTAACAAGCCACATGCTGTATGCCTGGTAATCATTCAGTACCATGGTATACATCAAGTGCTCTTGTAGCTGCCGTCATAGGCAACTCTCATATATTTCAGTTCATAATATGCACTTTACAGTTAAAAGGTCAATAAATAGTTAAAATGTTCAGAATAATCATTAGAATAAATAAGTAATATATTTTTTTGTTAATACATGTCAATTCATTTCATATTATTCAGCTAAAACCATAGAAAAAGAGGGGGACCTATTTTTTTGTTCCGCTTGGGAATTATTTAATTGTTGCTATCAGAATAGTTTTACCGGTGCACTACAAGTAGAAGAGCCACATGAGAAGAAGAAACTGTAACCCTCCAAGTTTATTCCTCTTGAGTTAGAGAGGCCAATGAGGTATGTGTTTTATCGTGTTAATTGCTTTGCCGTATGTGAACATGTGTAAATTACGTGACCGTGTGTTAATGTATAATTAGCCAATTAAGTGTATTTTCTTACGTGTTGAATGTGCACTTTATTTATTCGTTTTGTATGTATTTTTAGTTTATTATTATGTGTAAAACACCACTTTTAGAGGGTTAATTTAAGTTTGATGTATTTCCTTTCGTAGTTCTGACGGCATTGTTGGGGCATAAAAGGGCTACAAGACTAGCATGTACAAGACATGTTGAAAACTCGTGTCCAAATAAATGTCTGTTAAAACCAAGAATGACCTGAGCCTTTGATTCAACTCGAGGGGAGTAACAGCTCTGGTATTACAATAGTATATGATACAGTTTCATAACTGTACCAGGAAAAAGGTTTTTAATTACGTTTTTTAATGTTTTTGAAAGAATTCTCTTATTTTTACCAAGGATGCATTTATTTGATAAAAAAATAGTAAAGACGGTAATATTGTGAAATATTATTACAATTTAATTTTAAATGTATTCCTATGATACAGAGCTACATTTTTGGCATCATTACACCAGTTTTCAGTATCACATGATCCTTCAGAAATCATTCTAATATGCTGATTTGCTGCTTAAGACACATTTCTCATTATTATCATTGTTGAAAATAGTTGTGTTTCTTAATATTTTTTTGAAATACACAATACATTTTTTTCAGGAATAAAAAGCTCAAAAGAACAGCTCATTTAAAATAGAAATGTTTTGTAACATTATAAATGTCTTTACTGTCATTTTTGATCAACTTAATGCATCAATTAAACACACAGAATGATTTCTGAAAGATCACGTGACACTGAAAACTGGAATATGAATGCTGAAAATTCCACTTTACATCAAAGGAATAAATTACATTTTAATATACTGTATATTCAAATAGCAACATTATAAATGTCTTTACTGTCATTTTTGATCAACTTAATGCATCAATTAAACACACAGAATGATTTCTGAAAGATCACGTGACACTGAAAACTGGAATATGAATGCTGAAATTCCACTTTACATCAAAGGAATAAATTACATTTTAATATACTGTATATTCAAATAGAAAACCATTATTGTAATTCACAATAGTATTTCAAAATGTTACTGTTTTTATTGTATCGAATAAATGCAGCCTTGGTGAGCATAATAGATTTCTTTCAAAAATATTAAAGCAATCTCAATTATTTCATTCTGTTAACTGGTAGTGAATCTGCTATCATACAGATGAAACGGTACAAAATTTAAAGGCTTTTTGACAGTTTATAAGCATGCAAGTAGTAATATGTGAGGGGGAAAAACCCTGCAGAGCAATGATGGTGAGTGAGCAAAATGCTCTTAAAGGGTTAGTTCACCCAAAAATGAAAATTAGCCCACAAATTACTCACCCTCAAGTCATCCTAGGTGTATATGACTTTCTTCTTTCAGACGAATCCAGTCGGAGTTATATTAAAAATTGTCTTTCATCTTTCAAGCTGTTTAATGCCACTCAGTGGGTGTTGCATGCATCAGTCCAAAAGAAGCGAAATAAAAAGCGACCATCCATAAAAGAAAAAGTGTCTCACACGGCTCCGGGGGGTGAACAAAGGCCTCCTGTAGCGAATCGATGTGTTTTTGTAAGAAAAATATCCATATTCAAAATGTAATAATCACTTGAATCTAGCTTGCGCTCACTGTTGAACACAGAAGCAGCTCCGGGCAGATGACGCATGAGGTCAGCCCTACACATGCACAAACACACACTCTTAATCTATATCTCAGGTATTCTGTATAAAATCAGACTGAATTGATAAGAGATAGGAACTTAAAAGACTAGACAGAGACAGAAAGACAAAACAAATGTTATGTGGAAGTGAAGATGGTCATTTGAAAATTCAGGGGGAAAAAAACAGCTGGCAAGCAGAAATGTACCTGCACTGGGCAAATCAAAAACTGTCAGATAAATAGAGGCAAACAGAGACACTGATAACAGAGAGAGAAATGTTTGTGTGCTCAGTGTGTTTGCGCATGTTTTACTTAGCTATGGTTTGAGTACAGCACTGTCTGTCTGAATCTAAAATCACAATCAAAATCTCTCTTTGGGAACATCTTGAAGTCAAAATAATTTGGAAATTGAGCACATTTTTTGATGCAAAAGATTAGGGGTAGGGTTGGTCTGTAATCATAACTGTGAGTAAATAATAATAAAAATGTAACATATTTATTTATTATTCTAATTTAAAATATGTTTATTGAGGGTTAAGTTAGTTTGTGATAATGATAATGATAAATGCGGAATTGATCATTTTTTTGTTGTTGTTATTATAATGCAATTTAGTTTTCATTTTATGGGTGGGATTAATTTGTAATCATAATTATAATTAATTAATTATGAATTTGAGCATTTTTAGATATTAATCTAATGCAAAAAAGGGGTGGGATTACTTTTTGATAATCGTAAAAAGCTTTGGAACAATAGAAGCCAATAGGATGTTCTAATTTAGATGCTTCTTACTAGCTATATTTTTAGGGACAAATTGTTAAAAAGTTATAAAAATAAAAAATCTTTATTCACTTACTCAATGTAAATATTTATGGTACGAGTTCAGGCATAGGCTATTTATAAGAGTCATATTTATATGTTTACACTAGGTTCCATATAACGTCAATTACGTCCTTTTCTTTTTTCATTAAAAAATTATAAATAACCCTGCTTTTTCTATTGTTAGACGATTCCATTCTCCAGCTGAATGCTCATCAAAAAAGGGCCTTATCAGCTGCAAGTACTGCTGCCAAAAAAAGACTATTTTGAAGTTATGGATAGAACCATCCATTCCCACAACTTCTACCTGGCTATCATACTTCAGAGACATTGCCTTGCTGGAAGGTACCACTGCCAGGCTCAACGGCGCAAAAGACAACACTATTCGGATGTTGGGCAAATATTGCTGTGATGTTGCTAGATAGGCTGGAAAGTTGACATTACTGCTATGCATATCTGAATTTTATTTATTTTATTGTTCTTCCTCTCCTTTGGTACAAGTGGACAGCTTAATGACATCTGTTTGTACATATTTCTCTGGAACTGTGAATTGTGATATATGTTTCTGATGTGAAACTAAATCTGAATAAAAATGCTGATCATAAAAAAAAAATAAACAAACAAACTTCAGCTTTTGTGCAGTTCACTAAACGGTCCTAGGGCCCGTCCTTCGTACGTCGCATATTACATCTGAGATGCTTTGAAAGATTCCAGATCTTCTAATCCTGAAAACTGATCTCTGGCTAATTTGGTTCTTCAAACGAATTTGCGTATTAGATTCAAATATGTGGATTAAATTGTCTCAAATTAATCCGCGTTCTCGTGTTCCCCGAAAAGGGCAGATGTATCGATACTCGAAACCACGATCAGCAACGCAGCGATTGGCTGGCGGCGAGACAGCAACGTAATGACATCATATCATTAAAAAAAGACACCTGACGAAAAACTTGACAAATTTCTGAACCTTTATAAGGAAACAGCCAAGCGAACAAAACTACACGAATGGTATAACAGAAAAATGAAATGTGCAGTTTTTATTTTATCATTAATTTTTTTTTTACACGATTCCCAATTATTTATATTCACGATTTCTGGTATTTGTACAGGCTTTACATTTTTATTTCAATGTTGTAATTAGCAATGCATTTAATTTGATCTTTGAAACAGATTTGTTACGTGACTGCATTCATTAAACTTTCTCGAGTTATCTGCATCTCCTGCGCTCCATCAAGCCACTCCCATAATATCTGTCACCACTCAAATTAATGCACGGCTCAGATTAACTGTATACATAAAGAAATTATTTCATCATAAATATTTCAATGAGTAAAAGTGCCTGCGTCTATATATAGACACAGCCAGTTTTACTCATTGAAATATACTATAGCCTATAGACTACACAACATTATTATAATGTTTTTCAATAATTTTTTTAATTATTATTATTTTAAATGACTGTCCCTGGATCAGTAGGATGCTCTTCTAATGAAGTAGCATTAGGACAGATTTTAAGTATCAATTCTGCTTAAAAAGATGCGATGTAATCCTGTTTACATGAAATAAGCCTGCTCCGGAGCAGGTTTAAGCGTACGGACCTGTTGCAATGAAGAACCAAACAACCCAAGATCAGGCGAAATCATCAACAATCAAATCCAGCTAACTGAGTTAGCGACGTACAAAGAACGGGCCCCTAGTGTGACAAGTTAGTGATTTTTAAAAGTGTAAATATTCCATGTAGTCGAAAACTTAAATAAATACTGTTTATTTATATTTAGTGTGTGTTTCTTTTGGCATGTCTAATTCAGCGCAGCAGTGATAGAATGTAGCGGCGGCACACATCAACATAACAATATTGATCAATGTATCATGTGTTTGATTGACAGCTGCTCTCACCGGTCTCGCTCGCGTCCTGCTGAGACTGAACACGGTCACAAACATTCCAGAGAACAAGCAAACTCAGGAAAAGACCTCCAACTAAAGCCTTCAGCTCCATTCTCACCAGCCAGACCAATTTAGTGCTGCCTCAAATCTTCAGAAGGAAAAATAACGTTTTCATTATTCAGAGAAGACTTGAAGAGAATGATTACAAATACATTAAAAGAAGAAGAAAAAAATCAATACATGAAGCGAGATCTCGGACGAAGAGCGGGATGAGTCCTCTGGGCTGTTCTCGTATGACAGCGACCCTCAGACATGAAACATCTGGACTTGTTTTCGTTTGTTTGGCTGAAGGAGGGCTCGAGGTTTTCCTGTCGCCTCCAAACAAAACAAGGCAAAGTTTCGTTCTCCTCCGTCTCCCTCGAGTGAAATGAACGCTGTAAACGTGACAGTCGGAGGAGACTGCAGCTCTCTCCTGTTATCGGTGTTTTTCTGATCCTCCTCTTCTTCTGAAAAAAAACTAGACTTTCGACTTTCAGTTGAACATTTCCGGTTTTCTGGGCTGCTAGAACGCCTCAAGTCCTCAACTTTTAGTGAAGAGCAAAACAGTTTAATTAACACAAAATGTCTAATAATAGGTCATACAAACATTATGGAATGCTCAACAGATCGTGTGCATTCAAAAACGATGAAATACGAATTATGATATGATCTCATACAGGTAATAAAAATGAAAATATGTGAAGTAATACACATTTTAACTTCTAAATTAATAATAATCTATACCCTTACTTTCTTTTCTGGTAGTTTCAGTACCATGGTATTTATCAAAGTACCATATGGACAAAAAAAATGGTATTCAAAGGCAAAGGAGCCAAAAACAAACATACAACAATAACCCTGAATTTATATAAGTGAACAATCTTTCTGTGCCGTGAGATCTTGATTGTATAGGAGTTGATCGGTCAGATAAAGGAATAGTTTCTTCAGGACTCATATTTGCCGTAAGCAATTGGAGTTCAGCTCAATGATGGATTTGTTTCTTACAAACCCATCGATTTTCACCTCCCAAGATGTTAACTGATGGGACTGTGGATTATTGTGATGTTTTTATCCACAGTTTGGACTCTCATTCTGACGGCACCCATTCACTGCAAAGGATCCATTATTGAGCAAGTGATGTAATGCTCAATTTCTCCAAATCTGTTCCGATGAAGAACCAAACTCGTGTACATCTTGGATTTTTTTAATAACTAGATTAACAAGTCATTTTTTTAACTTTCCCACCCTCGATTTAGAAGGGGAAAAAATCATTTATATTGGTGTTTGTGTCTAAGTATTCGTTTCATAAAGTATGTCATTGGTGTAAAAGAGCACTCAGATGAAACGAGGACACTATTTCAGCGTCCTAATCTCTACCTGCCTTAATTTACAGTGTGCTTCCAAGTCAACTCTATTATGTATGTGTGTGTGTGTGCTTCTCTGTCAGGGTTTATTAAAGCATAGAAGGTATACAGTAGGATGAGACAAAAATAGGCCAGATTAACACAAGACACAGGCTGTTACACTTTACCATCAGGATCCTGAAAACATTTGTGACATACAGTACACACTCTAACAAAAGTCCCTAAAAATACGTTTCATATGTTTCAATTTTTCCTATTTTACTTTATTTTTTTTACAGGTGTTTTACCCGTGTTTTGAATTATGAATTTCATTGCGTGCTTTACAGAATATAGGCTACATAAATGTAACCAAATTTTCAGTAATTTTCTACCAGGATGTTATCTATTCTTCTGTTTATCTAGGTTTTTTTCTTACAGTTAAGAAACATTAAGAAATGTAACATCAATGACATTTTTTCCCCATTTAATGTAAAATAATTATGATCTATCTAATAATATCTATCTATCTATCTATCTATCTATCTATCTATCTATCTATCTATCTATATTCTAAGTCTGAAACCACTACTGAAAATTAGTTTTCAAATTTATTTTACATTTTGTCATAAAGTATATTAGAAACATAAATGAAACATGAAAGTTGAAACAAAAATTATGATGAATTTGACTTGGGTTCACATTAGATTGGAGATCTAGAAATTGTGCAGTTATTTCAATCAATTCTATTCAAACATTTCTGTTCATTTCCAGATTTTGAATCCCAGATTTTCAGTGTGGTCCCAGGCATTTGCACGTCACTGTATTTGCTTGATTATGCAGTACAGTACTACTGGCCATCTTAGAATACTGTTATCTGATTGGCCAGAAGTGAAGCGATGCTATTGGTTAGACCTGGGATCAGGGGCGTAGATTGCTAAAGACTCCGTGCAGTGTGTGTTTCATTCATACTCGAAGCCGGAGGGCGCTCTCGCGCAGAAAGTCGTACGAGGAAAGTCCTAATATGGACAAAAGTGTCCAGCTATTGCTGAATGAAAACAGTTGCTTTCACAGAAAACAGAAACGTTTGGAAACATGAAGTCATTAAACATACGATTGCGACAATATATGGTTTATTTGTGTTTGTCAAGTTATCTCCAGGTAATAAATAAAGTATATGAACAATGCAGTGCTAATTGACATAGCATTTATTACAGTATAGAAACTATTCTGCCTTATTATGTGATTAAAAAAAAGTGCTTGTAGTATATAAACAAATCATTATTATTGGTTATTGTCCAGCAGTTATCTGATTTCTAAGTCAATTAAAAGCTAGAAATTAGAGAACAATTAAAGTTGCCTATACACCAGTCAAAAGTTTTTGAACAGTATTTTTTATGTTTTTTAAAGAAGTCTCTTCTGTTCACCAAGCCTGTGTTTATTTGATCCAAAGTACAGCAAAACAGTACAATTTTGAAATATTTTACTAGGCTATTTAAAATAACTATTTTCTATTTGAATATATTTTAAAATGTAATTTATTGTGATTTCAAAGCT